CGTCCCGTTCATATTCGTCCTGCGTCTGCGTCGTTTTGGTCGGGACGCCTCCTTCCCTCACGAGCCTTTCCTCGACCTTACTTGACAACCCCCCTGGTTATGCATCCCTTGGCTGTGGCCCCCTCATCAACCTTTCCAGACTACATCTCTAGTCTATGTAGACAGATGTAACAAGAATCCCTGCCGTTGCCACGCAACATTTCAGGGCTGACGGCGGCCGGACGGACGGACGATCATGGAATCTGATGGGTTGCTTGAAGAGGGATTTTTATCTTCTGGCGTGACACAATAGACACAATAGATGGACACAGCAGGGAACTAGTAGTTTTAGGAGGGAGGGGAAGAGAATGCTGTGTGCCTCTTAAGAGTATATACTAGTCTGAACTGATTTGCCTAGGTAAGGTAGGGAGTGCTGATTCAATAGTGATGGGATATATACGTTGGGGTGGGATGCTGCTGGTGAGGTGAGGTAGTAATGTGTCCCGAAAACGAAGGTGATGACGACTCGGGAATTGAAGGTAGGAAAAATAGTTATCAACGGAAAGGTGGTGTACGATCTATGCGTTTGGACGGCTCGGATAGGTGGTACGGATAATCGGGGGCCTGATGTATCCATCACTAGTGCTCTTTGGTTTGTTCATGGATGTTGTTGTTGTTGTTCTGTTAGAGTTCCTTCTTGTTATCTAGAATGCCTAGCTCGGGTCATCTTCTCTCAAATGTGGAATCGGGAAGAGAAAGAGTAAAAAGACAGACAACATGCGGATACTATGCCCCATAGTCAAGTATGTTTGATTTTGATTGCTCTTTAGCAAATTTGGGTTGTAAGATGAGAGTTCAAAGGAAATGTACTTATCCGAGCGGGGCAAAGGTTCCGAATATTTCTACGATTAAATAACACTTGATAGGATTCTTCCTAGCATGGTTCCAGCTTATTGTCGAAGTAAATCATAGTTGTGTAACGGCCTTTTTCGTTACCAAAGCAAGTGAGTGGTATTGGCCTTGGACTGTTGATGTCTCGGTTATTCTTGCGACCGCTCGGTGGCTAGCTCAAGAAGATCATATCGTATTTTATTTATGAAGTGGCCGAGCTACAAGGAGAACATGAAACCGAGAATATGTTAGCGTCATTGAGAATGATCGAACAAATTAATAGCTGGTATGTCTTTAACAAGAGAGCCTGCCATGTGTATTTTCAAGTCAAGTACGCAGTCTATATTAAATACTACGCCATTACACAACGCCTAGGCTGGTTCAAGAACAACCAACTGCAGCATTACAACATATACCTAAACCTCTCTTCCCCACTTCCTCCCTCCCTTTCACCACCAACCAACCCCTCCTCCTCATCTTGCCCCAAACCTTCATAGGCAGTCTCCTCCTCGAGTTTCCTATTCTTTCTCGCTAGGTATACCCTCAAGAAAACCGCCAGGAAAGCAACTCCCACCATCGCCCCAGCACAAACCCCCATCCCCCTCTTCCAGAACGGCCTCTCCTTCACGGGATACAATCTCGTTCCCACAAGCGGTCCACACTGTCCCAGGACCTGCATCAACGCAAACCCCATCCCCTTTCCCCCCTCAGTCCGCTGGTTATTGATACTCCACGCAATCGTCAACACCACCACATTGAAAAACCCGATCGCGGCAGGATAGACGGCTAAATACCTGACCCAGCTACCCGGTTCCAAACCGAGAGACTGGGAAAAGGCAAGAACAGAATAACCGAGGGCGGAAAGGAGGGCGTGGAAGATTAAAGGGGTGGAACGGTTGTGGTAGCGGTCGGAGAGGGAGGCGGTACAGAGGACTGTAATAAAAGCGCAGAGGTAGGGAGGGGCGGAAAGGGCTTGGGACATGAGGGGCGTGTGGTTCATGGACGTCAAGATAGTGGGGAGGAAGACGGGGAGGGAGGAGTAGGCGAGGTTGGTGAGGAAGAAGATTGCGGCGGTGAGCCAGGCGGTGGGGGAGACGAGAGTTGTTAGGATGTCGCTTGTTTTGAGGCCCGGACCGGCAGAAGAATGAGAAAAGGGGGAGGAGGAGGAGGACCAGGACCGGAGACGGAGAGCGGCGACTTTCTTTTCGCGACGGGTGAGGTAGCGAGCAGTTTGCGGGGAGTCAGGGATGATGTGCCAGGCGAGCACGGCGACGATGACGGAGGGGAAACCTTCTATCAGAAAAAGGAGACGCCAGGGGCGGACGGGAGAGATTTCGCCTAGCTTCAAAATGGCCCAGGCTAGGAAGGAGGCGAAGCTGGTTGCTAGGGGGGCAGCTGAATGTTTTTTTTTGGGTCATGAGCATGCAGTTACTTGTTGGATAAAAAGGTGAATACGTTACCTGATATAAACACGGCCGTCCTAAGAGCTAACTCATGCCGCTTGTAAAAGAACGATAAGTAAAAGGGCACTCCGGTAAAGGCCGCCTCGCCGATACCCAGAATTGTGCGCAAAAAAATGAGCATAGGGTAGTTGACTGCCACGGCTTGAAGCGATGCCGTCAAGCCCCAGCAGAGAACGATGATGGAGACGTAGATGTGGGCGGGTATGAGGCGCCAGAGAAGGGACATCCATTCGAAGCAAATGTAGGCGATGTAAAAGGCTGTTAGAGCCCACTCGTACCAACCATCCTTGGGAGGAGTGGACTGGAGGTCTTCTTCCATACCCGCGATTCGGGCATTTCCGATGTCTGTGGGTGGTGAGCATTCTGCTCAACATGCAAACAGAAGTTGTGAAAAGTGGCAGTCTGTGGAAATGAACCACGACTTTAGAATAGCAAAGTTGCCCCTGAAAGCCAAGAAGTGAAAGAAGAAACAGAAACAGCATAACTCACTAGACCGATCCAAAAAGCTCAACATATAAAGCAGGGCCACGAAAAGCACCAGTTTACGATCAAACTTTTTCACCACTGCTCTTTCTTCATCTGGCGTGTATCGCAGCTGGAAACTTTTACCGCTCGTTGTCGTGCTAACACTTTCATGATCCAGGTCTGGGAACTTGCTAGTTCCCCTCCTCCTGTTGCCCTTCTTGCGCTTTCCCTTGTGCTTCTTTTTGGTCGATGTTAACTCATACGCCTCTTCCTCGCCAACAGCACTGAAGAAGACTTCCCGGTGGAGTTCGGTTGATATTCGGCGGTCTTCTTCCGAGTCTGTGGTCTCCGATTCCGAGTCTGTGTCCAAGTCCAAGTCGGAGTCCGTCGCCATGTGATCGTGATGGTGATCCTTTGCTTTGGATGATGACAAATGTGAATCTAGAAGTTGGTGGCCTACTCGCTGCGACTGCGGGCTTCGTCGTCCATTGTCTTTGTCGTCCTGACCGGTACCGTTCCCATCACCGCCGTTTGTCGCTCTCTGACCGTTTTGACTTTGTTCTGGACTTTTCCCATCACTTCCTGTTCCTATTCTTTTCCCGCCCCCAGACCGACTCCCACGTGCCCATCCCCGCCCATCCTGTCCACCAACTGCCGCACTCCTTTGTTTTCCTACCGAATTATCCCGAGAGGAGGCCGTCATCATTGTCCTCTGCTGCCGCACGATTCCACACTTCCTTCCTTTTTTTTTTTTTCTTCTTCTTTTATTTTCCAAAACCTCCAAGAGTTCAATGAGTCAGGCTGTGCTTCGGTGTTTACCGTGTGGTGTGGTGGGTAGGTTCTCTTTATCTTTCTCGAAAGCTTGATGGCCCCCTGCGGACGCCCCCTTTTCTCTTTTCTTTGTTGATTGGGTGGTGACTCCTGTCCCTTATCCCTGGTTCTGTGTCGCTAGCCTTTGTTGGATACCTCAGGTAGTCTGCAGAAGAACACATGCCGATTCGGCATCGAATGGTTCGGTTCGTTTCGTTTCGATCCAGTGGTGGTGGGTGTTGAAAGAGTTGGGACAAGTGACGTCGTCAAAACAGGCTTCGTTGACATGAATTCACATGCACAGTCGGTGTGCGTTAGGAGTGCTATACGTAGGTGTGTCGGCTTGTCTTAGGCGGAGCGCACTAGCGGTAACGGTAACGGCATGGATGCACCCCAGGATTTCCCCGGAGCCCGGAAAGCTTGAAATGTCGCTGGATGCACTGCAATGCCCGTGTGCTGCCCGCGTAATGCTGGGGCGTCTGTGAGGACCGCGGCCAGGTATCTAGGAACCAACTTGAGATGGATCTCCAAGAAACAATCCGTCCGCAGTTGCCGCCAGTTTAACACGCTACAGTTCCCGTAGGTTTGTTTCGTCTGATCTTCACGAATGTTTGTGCAATCCCATGGCAAGAGGAGCGAGATGAACACCGCCGCCGGCGAGTACATAATGACCTGTTTAGTGGTCCCCACCCCGCGCCAGCTGTCCATCTATTGGCAGCCAATGGCGAACACCAAGATCGGCGGGAATGCACCCCTCCCCCTACTGTGATGCTGGACGTTAAATGGCTGGGATGCCCCAGCTTCCCGTGAAATTTCAGGGCGATCTCAGATTATCCCCCACAGAGAAATTGGGCTCAGCTGAGGACATCGTGCGTGCAATGTCGATATATGTGATACCGAGAAATAAGATAGAAAGGTCTCGATCTTTGTGGATTTGCTTGGTATGCGCTGAAATATTAAAGATGCAAATTGCGTCTAAATGAGATATGTAGATAGGTAACCAGAAACCATCGCATATCACCTTGTCAAACTGTCCCCAGGGGCCATGCATGACCTCTTCGACTCAATCTCCTCAATTCCACAAATATTACCCAACTTTTGCTGTCAAATGGAATTATTTTTGGTCTTTCGCTCCCCCCTTTGCTGCTTCTCCACCTCTCCACCTTTGTGAGCACAAAGAGCTGGCTGCTTGGCTGGGCTGGGTTTGGGCATCGAGCGGAAGCATTCCTCTGTCGCAGTTGTCGGTCGTCCTTCCTGATCAAAACTTCTCTCTACCTCTTGGACTGACTGCCGTCATGCCGCCCACTCATCTCGAATCAAGGAGCCGACTTTCCTCGAACCATGTACTATAGGATGGAAAAATGATAATTAAACGTTAGAAAGAACCCGCGTTACCATAATCGCCGCCAAGCAAAAAGTGCAGCTGCGATCATTTATTGTGGTACCAGGCTTTTGAATTTCAGACGGCATGGCCATACAAAACCAAGTCCGCCGATAGAAGGTATGAAAAAGATGCTTGACATGTAAAATGGGGAAAAAGCACACAAAATGTTTGCCATCGAAAGGCAGCCCCGAAGAAATCGTCTATACGTGTTGAGTTCTTCTCCACCTCTTTTATTTTTTAAAAAAAAACTTATTTCCCGCCTCCATCTTCCCAAGACGTTGACATCGCAAAAAGCCTCAAATGTCGCAGTCTTTGTCGCATCAAACAAAATAACAACATTCTCCCCATGGGCATCGAAGCGTAAATGGTCGGTGTCAGTCGTCGAGATAGGAAAAGTAATCACAAGAACTATGTCGCCGTCACACATTCGTCATTTAGTTCCACCCGAGGGAATTTTCCGCGGCAACGGGGGCCGAGATGTAGGCGGTCCGAGAGGAGAGACCCATCCCGCTCCTTCCGCTGCCATGGCTGTCCCGTCCACCAGGCGCACCGGCGCCGGCCGCCGCCGCGCCGCCAGCCACTCCTCCATAGCCGGTAAAGTCCCTACTAAGGAGTGCCCCGCCCATGAGAGCCGGGCTGCCCCCGCCCATCTGCTGCATGTCCGACGGGCTTCCGCCGAGGGAGCTCGCCCGTCTGTGCGCCTGCTTCTTCCTCTTGTACCTCCTGGCAACCACGAACATGGCCGCGCCATACGCAGCAGCAACGGCAACAGCACCACCTACAATTCCCGCCGTGGTTCCCCGCTGCTGAGAAGTCTGGTTGCCGTTGTTGTTGTTTGTAAATGGGTCCGCATTGCCGTTGTTACCGGCGTTGGACGGGTTACTTCCACTGTCGCCACCTGAGCCATCGCCAATGAGGGTCGAGCCAAGGATAATGTCGATGGCAGGATTGATCTGCATTGTCAAGTTGTAAACCAGCGGGGTAGGGTTGTTATAGAGCGGAGAACTGGCGATTTTAACATCCAGTCGAAGGCTCTCAACATACGCCTGCGGGTATGATACAACAGCAAGAGTGGTCCAGTAGCCCAGAGTGTTCACCGTGTTCATGGGCATCAGTTTCGTGACTCTTACTCTGTGGGACTCAATGGACGAAGCAAACGCCAGCGCCTCAGGGAGAAGGCGGAAGATCTGCGCCGCAGCGTTGTTGTTCTTGGCCACAAATGGGTAATTGAATCCATAGTTGAAACCGATCTGGATAAAAACGTTGTCTTCCGGCTTGGGAGCAGTCGAGTCATCAGGGGCAATCGCCTTGGGGAGGTCAGTGGGAAGGGCAGTCGCTGTAGTTTGTTGCACGAAGGACACGGTGTGGGTCTGCGCAGGAGGAGGCTGGTCCACCAGAATCGTGGTTGGGCTATTGTAGCCAGGCGGCATGTTAGACACGGTGGCTGTAGGAGTATATTGCGTAACCGGTGGATAGTTGATCGTCGTGGTCGGCGCAGGCGGGGGAATCAGAACCTGAGTGGTGGTAACAGGTTCCAAGGAGGAAACAGGTACCGAACTCTCAGCTGAAGCGCTCGTTACGATGACTGGAATGATGGTTGAAGAATTGGCCGCTACTGTGGTGCTGTTAATCAAAGTGACAGGGGGCAGAACGACCGTTGTGTCAGACATGGATGTGACAGGGATCGAAGAGTTTCCAGGAATAATAGGCACCGAGGACCCCGGGATTCCGGTTGTTGTTGGGCCCGATTCAACGGCTTTGGTTGAGGAAACAGTTGAGTTTCCAATCGGGATAGAGACGATACCCGAAGACATCATAGGAGGCTTAGGCTGGCTGGTGGTCAGCGAGGCGGAAGGCGTGATAACGCCCGATCCAGAGCCGCTAGCATAAGGTTCGGTCGCCGAGGGAATCGTGACACTATCCGACGTAGTAACGGGAGCCGTGGGTTCGGTTGCTGTTCCATTGCCCGTAGGAATAAGTATGCTGCCTACCAAGGATGCGACATTGCTAGCCAAAGATTCAATTAGGTTGGTTGACGCACTGGAGGTTTCATTGACGACGCCTGTAGGGGCTAGGAGAATTCCGGAGCTGCTCGAGCTGGTGATCAGAGGATCCTCTGTCGCGATGATCTCGGAGGCCGTGGCAGTTCCGATGGTAGAGTTGGTCGCACGGCCAGTCCCAGAAACGAGCGCAGGCGCGGTAGAGTTTGCTACATCGGCCGCAGAAGTCGAGCTCGTCCGGATCGAAGGAAGGACGATGATAGGCGGGAGCCAACCCGTGGAAGCGCTCCCATCGGTGGCTGTCTCGGTGCTTGCTGTCTCGGCGGTGGTAGCATTGGCCGTGGAAGTAGGCTCAACGGTGGTGGTGGGAGGAGTAAGGACCTGCAAAGGGCTAGACGAGTCGGGACTAGTCGTGTTAGAAATGACTCCTGACGAGACGGTGGGTAAAGCGCTGGACGAAGTCAAGGAGCCAGATGCATCAGTCGACGCGGCCGACGAGCTAGCAACATCGGTAGCAGAAGCCGAGGAGCGGGCGACATCGGTAGCAGAGATGGCCGCGCTGGTGGTGTTGGCAACAGAGCCAAGCGCAGTAGTGCTATCGGTAGCAGAAGCCGAAGAGCTAGCGACATCGGTAGGAGAGATGGCCGCGCTGGTGGTGTTGGCAACAGAGCCAAGCGCAGTAGTGCTATCAGTAGCAGAAGCCGAAGAGCTAGCACTACCGAAACCAGGGTTCAAGAAGCTAAGAATATCTATAACAGAGCTGGACGAGCTAGCAGAGATGGCCGAGCTGGTGGTGTTAGCAATAGAGCCAGGCGAGGTGACGCTGCCAGTAACAGAAGCCGAAGAGCTGGCGCTATCGCTGGTAGGGCTGGATGAGCTAGCGGTCTCTGTGACAGAGCTGGACGAGCTAACAGCGTCGGTGGTCGAGGCAAAAGAGCTGGTAACATTGGCGCCGGAGCTGGGCAAGATGGTGTTATCGCTAACCGAAGTCGAAGCCGAAGCCGAAGCCGAAGAGTCGACCCTGTCGGTGGCAGTAACAGGTGAGCTAGTACTACTGTCCGTGGTAGAGCCAAGACTGGTTCCCGGAGTAGATTCAGGTGACGTAGTAGCGCCAGAAGAGGTGCCCTCGGTAGTCGAGTCAGATAAGCTGCTCTCGGTAGTAGAGCCAGAGCTGATTCCCGTAGGAAACCCAAGTAGGTCGGTTGAGCTGTTGTCAGTAGCAGAGCTGGAGAGACCAGTGGTACCCTGGCTAGTTGAGTCAGAGGAGCCCGCAGTGCTATCGGTGGAACTAACAAAGTCGGTGTCGACAGCGGGGGCAGAGGGAGCGGCTGTGCCAGCGGTCGACAAGTCGACTGTTGTGGGCTGGGAAGGTGAAACGTAAACGGTGCTCGCAATCACCACCGTCGTGACCCGAGACGTGTCTGACTCGGATTCGGACTGCGGTTCGCTCGAGGCGAGGAAGCGCGAAGAAGTCGACTTGACAAAGGGAATGTCCGACAAGCTTTCGCTCTGGTCGTTGCTGGTCGTCTCCCTCTTGGTCGTCTGCGATAAGGCGTCGGACGACGTATCGATGGTGGTAATAGGGGCATCGTTGGATGTTATCGTGGCGTTGGCATACTGGCGTTTGACATGTTTAGGGAAGTAGTACTTGGGCTTGGTGGGCCCCACATGCTCGCCGGCCACATACGAGGCCGCTAATAGGGCGGCCGCAACAACGGATACTGTCCGCATCGTTCTTGTCCTAGTCGATGTTGATCATGCACTGCCCTGGTGATGCTGAGGTGATGTTGGTATAAGAGAGTGGAAGGCGTCAACTGGCACTCGGGGCGTGTAGTGTGTGAATCTACGCCGAAGGGTCGTCAGCGCCGCAACAGCGACAGCAAGGGTCGACAGCAACGGCAAGAAGGGACTCACTTGTCAGGAGATAGTCGTAACGAGTGAACTTGACAAATAAGCCAAATGAGGGTAATCTGAAGACGAAAGCAACAGTCAGTGAATCCATGTATCTATAATTTGGGCCCAAGCGTATTGGTGATCCCCGCGATCAGCTGTGGAACGGTGAGTTGTTGGCCTGGTCCAAGGCAAGGGAATCGCAGGAGCGCTGATCGTTGCGTCTAGCCCTTCGACATCACTGCCCTCACTCTCCAGCGATGTCCCCGTCGACGTCCCCGGCCCCGGCCAAGTCCCTATGTCCAAGTCGCTTTCTTTTCATCCTGCCTCTCGCACCGGCTCCAATACGCTCCCCATAGCCGCATTTTCCCCTGCCGAGTGTCTTCGCCAAGGGACCAGGCACCAACCAGCCCATCTTCTCCGAACCAAATCCACACTCACATTCAAGGCAAATTAGGGGAAATCTCGATTATCGGTCCCCTGTTGATTTGTTGTTGGTTTTCAAAATGAGTGGCTCGACGAGGAAACTCGTCTATGGGTTGCAGGTACAAGGAGTCCGTCAGAGGCGGCGTCGAGATCGGAGTCGGATTCGTGTGCACGAGTTCATGACAAGACGGGCATCGGAAAACGGAAGAGAAGGAGGGACCAAGGCAAGGCGCGTCAACCTATCGGGTGTCTTGTTGGTCCGAGTTGCTGGTCGCTGGTCGCGGGAGCACAAATCAACTGGCGGCGGCGGCGAGGTTGAACGGCAGACGAGTCGTGGGGAGGATTTGCAAAGGACGACGTCGCCGAAGGGGAGTGCCGGAAAACCAAGTTGCGAATTTGGTCGACGGAGCAGAAGAAAAGGATGAAAGGAGTGGAGGAAGAGAAAGGGTAAGTAGGTGAGAGTGAGAGGAAGAGTGAGTAAGGCGGACAAGGTTGAGCGCGAGGGTGAGGGGAGAAGTGAACGAATGTGTGAAAGGCGCCCAAAGAGGGTCAAAGGGTTCGTCTCAACACCATACAACTGAATGGAACTAGGGAGTGGACGGAAAAAAGAGAAGGGAACGGGGAGATTGGAAGAATGAAACGAGTGGCAGGACAGCAGCAGCAGCAGCAGGACCTGACGGACTGACTGTTGGTGTGTGTGCTGAGCAGACGGTAAAGACGTAAAGACGGTGGTCGCTTCTGCCAGGGTGACAGTGAAGCCTGAATGGAATTGGAAGGAGAGAGGAGCACTCAAGGACTGGAACCGGCTGAAGAGAGAACGGACTGGACTGCGTGAGAGACACGGGAGCGTTGGCCCGCTGGCTGGGGGGGGGAGGCGAAGCGAAGCGCTGCTGCTGCGTTGCAAGGGTGCCTAGGTTTCTCTTGGCTGCGTGTGCGATCCCAGGAACGATATTACCTCGAGCCGGGGTGGGAAATGGGGAAGGGGGACAAATGCGACAAAAAGAGGGGACCGTTCAACCACACAAGTCACCAAGTGAACATCCAAGAGGATCTGGGGTCCGACAGGTCCGCTAGCCAACCGGGTACCCGCCGGCCCTAGCAGGCGCGGGAGGAGACTTCCCCCCTAACATGAAACGGAGCGCGTTGTTGGTCGGCGATGGTTCCTTGATCGCATGCTCCGCTCCGTCAATTCCATGACTACCCTACAGTACCTCAACTGATGAGCACCTCAGTGAAACCCTTGCTGACGACTCCCGCGCCGTCCAGCGGCTTCAGACACACCCACCACGAACCAGGTGGGCTTCCAATAATATCCTGGTGGCTTGCGATAGTGCGCGCTATTTCTTCCCGACGAAAAAAGAAAGGCCGTCTAGGCTCTGGGCTCCGAAATGAACAAGTCAAGTAGGTTTGATTTATGTTTCTCAGTGAGGGCGGAAGAAGAAACGTCAAGGCGTCCGTCTAGATCGGCACTCCGATCTTGATTCTGCATTGACCATGCGCTATATGCCCGTTCCTCATCGACGCGGTAGTCACGCATGCCAATGTTCTCACCCGAAAAGTGCACAGAAAAGGGGTGAAGCAATTGAACCGAAAGCTCTTCGCGTCCGGGCGGTCGTTCGCGTTGGATGAGGGTAACATCGGGATATGTGATGGACCAAACCCTGGACAGATTTTGCTCATCTTCAGTTCCATTTGAACATTCTCCCTCCCGCGCTTCCCCTCTTTCATCTGTGCCCGCCGTGGAGAGATGGAACTGAAGTGGAACGGAAGCAGTGGGTGCAGACTGGGGCGGGCCCACGGCTCTACATATCCTTCCCTTCCTTCCATGCATGCATCGCGCGCGCAAGTTCGCAACTGCACACAAGAACGGGCATGTAAAAAGCAACAAGCGATACCAACCCAAGTACCAACTCCGTCGGTGCTAGGTAAGGATGGACGGCTTGGCACCATGGCATGATCATGTTCTCTGTACCACTCACTCGGTCGCACAAGTGGCTTGTTTTGGGTGAGTGAATGCGAAGCTGAGATGTGCAACAACGTATCCGATACTTTCCCTTCGCTGGTTAAAGTTTGCCAAAAGGCGTTCGATGTTGGTGGAGTCTATCGATACTAGCCGGTCTTGTCTGGTTGGCTGCTGCCCAGCGTGTATCAATTGAATTTCGAATTGATTTTGATGCCGCTAGTCGCTGCTGCTCAGTCTACACTATGCTACGGTCCCTTGCCGCTTGGTGGACTGAGTGGATCCAATCCTCGCTGTTCCTGACGAAAGACGATCGATGATTGGCTTGTGTAACCTTCTCCCCACCTCTGCAAGGGGAAGCAACAAGGGGAGCCATCCTTCTAGGGAAGGCACCGAGCGCGCCGCGCACGCACATTCACTCCTCACCATCACTCGTTCACCATTTCTCTCCCGCTCTTGTTTTTCCTTTCCTTGTCCATGTCCAGGCCTCATCATCACTTCCCTTGCCGTCGTCACCCTCCCCATCCCCAAAACTTCGCTTCCATCTTTTCCCCCTCCTCCCGTCCACACCTTTCGGGTCTCCTCCACGCGTGTTTGCGCCATTCCGGCCTTCTGGGACTGGCCCTACCTACCACCAACGGGACACCACGCTCAGGAATCAGTTGAACCGACTGAGCCAGCATGGTACATTCGTTTCGCCATTTCGCAGTACCTCAGCTACCTCTACCTACCTAGAGGCACCCCTGCCTACAAATGCCGGCCGTGTGCCATGGCGGGTCGGATTGTGGGCTTTTCCGCCAGCGTGGAGGGTTGGTTATCTTGACATGGCCACCAACACCACGTCAATCTCCATCGCATGGCCAAAGAATTAGCACTGCCTCATTTCAATGGAACATTGAGCCTACCCTCCGCACATGGTTCAGCAACGACAGAGCCTCAAGCCCTGCAATCCGTGCCTATCAAGAGAACCCATTATCTAAAAGCAGCATGCGGCATGGCGTGCTCGCCATACCTCAAACCCGAATATTGACCTCATAATCTTGCCAAAGGAAAGACCGCCAGCGTGAAACGAGACAAAGACTTCAGCCAAACCACGAGTGTTTCTTCAAGAGACCCAGGATTCGCAAGGGAAACGAAACGGCGGCGCCAAAAACGGTCCCACCCCCCATCTCTTCCTCGGTTTTTCTATATTCAGCCTACGTTGTACTCTGTGCCTTGTACGCTCAGCCTGCCATTCGAGAGGACAGGATTCCCCCCCGTCCAAAATGCTCAAGCCTCTCCTACCCTCGCAGCTTGTCAAACCCGTCCCTTGTTCTTTATGCGACCGCGACTAGCGGGAAACCACGAGCAAAAGGCGCTGCTGATCTTCAACTGTTCTGGCCGCGTTTGACACACCATGATACCCCTTCTCCCCTTTTGGCGATAACTTCGGAGCAGTTTGCTGTCTAAGAACTACTACCATCTCGTATCCTTCACCATTTTTCTTTCCTGTTGCATGTTGCAGCCAGCACGATGTTATGTGCCATTTGCCCCCTGGATCGCCAAAGATTCGTCCGTGTTCACACAGATTAATTACACTATTTGGCAACGTGCAACCTGCTCCCATGATATAGGCATAATATGGCCTGAACCCCATCTTACTCGATCACCCGAACATGGTCGTGGTCCGGCGAATGTGTGGGAGCGCTGCCGCGCCACCCCTTGGATTGTTTCCGCGATTTTTCCTGCTTCATCACCGATTTTTGTGCCGCCTTGTTTGCAAAAAGGAAAACACGCTCAACGAGTCCAATAAGGCTCTTCTCCAGTTATCGTTACCTCATCCCAACAAGCTCCCCGCTCGAGATACTCACACCATTTAAAGTTGGTAGGATCATCACCCCGGAGTGCCATACTCAGCATTTCAAGCATTAGCCACGAGGTGGTTAGTGAGAACACCAGAGGCTTCTGCGTTCATGTGTATGGGTCACCCATCCAGGCTCACCGGCGAGTGTCTCTACTCCTATAGCTACTTACCGATTACCTATAAGAACGGATCATCGGTTGGTTCTCCTTGCCAGTTGCGGGAAAACGACACGTGATGCGCGGCCAAGAGTTTTACAGTGGCCAATGTAATTTCCTTATGATATAGTTTATATCTCCAACTGGCCATACCCGAAAATCAAGGTGTTTCGGGAATTCGGGATAATTCCCACGCGAACGAATAGCCCCCAAGTGTCGAATCACCAACGGCAAGCCCATGTTGGGATGATTGATTCACCCGTACACTTTCAAACTTCCCGCACGGCCAGTGATGCAGCGCAGTCACATCTTTATCGTTTTGTTCTGTTTGTCAGCCATGGGTGTTGAGCAAGCAAGACAGAGGAAAAATTCATTGCAGCAGACGTTGAGGTCTGGACGGTGCAAATCCAGAGAAAAGCCATCGCAGGCCGAAAGGGAGATTTGGGCCAGCTGCTATACAGCATCATTTCCACTTCCTTTCTTCCTACTTTGCTCCACAAAAATATCTTCTCCTGTTTATGACGCCGGGCTTGTTTCGGGGGGAGCATGACGATTGGGCTATCTTTACGAGCACGTTTGGATACAATAGATATCGTGCAGTCAGCCCCTATCCCGATTCACGAGTGTGACGATCTACACAAAAACCACAACAACGCCTCATCGCCTGGCTGTATCAATCCCTACTTTCGAGGTCCGAGAAGGTGTGAGACGAGGGGAACTATCATAAACAGATTCATTTGGCATCGTCTATGGATGCTACAGTTGAGGCGAGGATGTCATCCATTTCGAAAATAAGAGAAAAACAAGACAAAGTACCCATAACCAGCCTTGTGGTGCTATCGTCAGGAACAATCAACATCGATCGGCATGGACTCGAAATATAAAAACATCAGAGTATCACCATGCGGATTTTGCCGTCTGTTTCAGCTGTTCCGTCTTACCGGATACTACTCAATGGCCTTGCGCTTATGCCAACAGACGGCCAATCACGTAGATGTCCTCATAATTTACCTTTTCACACTGGAAACCAGGCTGCGTAAACGGCCCACGGACTTTCACTAGTTTAACTTGCAGTTGGAAGCCTGGGACTAATTGCAGGTATGATACGATGTGGCCTACCGCATCCCACGCACGAAGCATCCCGATTCCGGTAGCTCTACAGGTGGTAATCCTCAAGTCTCAATTTTCGGCTACTGCAGTCAAAGCTCTCTAGTTCCACCAACGATACAAGCGGCCAAGCATTTAAATGCAGGCAAGAGCGAAGAGATAGACCGGAAGCGCGTTGTCAGGGTCGCCAAAACCATGATGCAGATTCCCGGATGGCTGTCTTGTTGATGAGCTCAAGCACAGTTGCTAAGTTCGTCAAATCTTTTCTAGTCGCTGTTCACCACGCCCCCTACCAGACTACCTCCTTATCTGGCCCAGGAACAGCAGCAGTTGCCGCGATTCTCACAAGACATGCAGTTCGTGGTTGCGCAGATCGAGACACGGTGCCTGCCATCGCCCGAACTGCAACACCGACAACACATATTGAGTTCAGTTACCCTGTACCGGCGATAGATCAAGAGTGGCGGTATCTGAAATCAGGTTTTGCAAGGCGTCAGATCCTCACTCTGTTGCGCAACCCCAGGTTTTCGCGGTCAACAACTACTGGGTGAAGTCACTACCCGATGGATAAATCACGGCAGCCAGCCAGTCTAGGTTCTGAACTGATCGTCGACTCGTGCCAGCGTCTTGGTACAAAATAGACGCTGCTGGACGGAAGGCTGCCGTACCAGGGCGGGCTTGGTGTTATTCCTGATAAATGATCGTGTCTTTGAATCTCAACAAAAAAAAATTCAGATGTAAAATGGTAGGCAAGGCAGCCGCCGACACACTGCAAAGTTCATAGTTGCCGGTTCGGGTGGCACAAGAGGATAGAAGTGAAGCGAACCATGAGATTACAATATGGCCCATTTGTCACATCGGAACCTCAACTGTTATCAAGCTACAAGTTCTTTATCCACCCTATTCAGTTCAGCATGCCAGTTGCCGGGACCTCGTTATATTTACCATTGCACACTACAATTAAACGCCAGCCTCCTTATAAGATTGCGGTGGTAGCGATGGAGGAGATGGGAGGTCCCAGCAAATGAACTCGTAGAGCCTGTGCGTACTGGACAGATGCCGGGTCGATCTGAAGCAACTTCACAACAGCAAAGACTGGCGTGATGTTGCTCCACGGCGCAATTCAGTCAATCAATTCATTGCACAACGTCCATCTAATGATCGGCTACCACTTCCCTCTTGCTCGGCTCACATCTTACAAGGTACCGTGCATCTCGGCCGTCTTCACACCACATTGAGTTGGGCGCTGTGTGGCAAAAAGAAAGCATCACCAGCAACTGGGCAAATGAATGCCTGACTACTCGCCCCTTACCAAACTTCCATCCACGATATGAGTGACCCCATGCCTCCAATCTCAGATCGGCTGCTCTTCTCAAATTGACAATGTGATGTATCATCTACCATGTGCTCGGGCCAAACACCAGGGGAGCATAACGTGGCACAGGGTTGCTGCTATGTCTCAAGCAGAGCAAATTTGGGCGCACCTTGCTTTTCCATGGTACCGTTCAAAGCATCAGCCGCCCTTTGACGGATTAAGCCAGTATGGGATATGGTCTTGAGACCATTCTCTGCACGTTCCTCATTTTAGACAGCTGCAATCCGTTGTGGATCAGCGGCCCTGCAGCCACAAACACGGACAACGGCTTGCAAAGGACAATTCCTCTGTTGGCCTGTGTCAGAGCGTGAACTTGAGTACTAAACTCAGTCCAACAAGAATTGATTTGTCAAGGGAACAGCCCTAAAGAAAAAAAGAGACAGGCAGCAGAAAGGCTCGCGAAATAAACCACCATAATGAGCATCATCATGGAAGTGAGCCTCAAACCACTCACGAGAGAAACAACCAACGGATGATGTCCTGTCGCATCCCGTCCTAGATCTGACTTGCTTGCCTTGCATCATGATGCGGGAAAGCATAAAGGCAGGGGGGTTGAGGTAGTTATCCGAGATCGGGGCATCCAGTTCAGTCATCAACCAGCTGGAGGACCTGTGATGAGATATCCTATGTGATATTGGGGTCTTGTAAGTGACCAGATCAACGGAATCTGGTTTCAGCAGAGCCACAATCTTATACTAGCGAAGCCAGCTTCCCAGCGGAAGTTGCCACAAGAAATCCGCTTATAGCTTGGTTAGGCAGTTTCACTAACTCATTCAATGCAGACTTGCTGATTGCCCTACCTCCAAACTTCTGGGGGTTAGCGGCAGAGCAAAGATCTGTTGGTATTCCTTCCCTCCTTTTTTTTTTTTTTTTTTTTTTTTTTTTTTTTTTTTTTTTTTTTTATTTTACAACCAGCCGTCCTCATTTCCAATCAACTAGCTTAGATCACATCACACATGGGTATTCATCTAGTAGATTAATATTTGTCTAGGTGGTGTGTTAAGGTAACAACCCGGGGTCGTTGGCCGTCTACTGTACCCTTCCAGGGCTCAATGGTACAGGCCAAAGACGGTATTACGCGACATGCGAGGCTCTAAGTCAAGAGTCAGGGCTACATCTACCTTACCGCCCACGCGGCAAGATACACACCACCCGGATCCGAATCTGGGTTGATGCGGATATGGAATCGTAGACCACATATGCCAGTTACCGACTTATATGCAGATGAGATCTTCGAGTCATAATAAATTTCGCGGGACGGTATTTGGCTCCCAATGAGCACTCTACCCGATCATCTAAGTGAAGGGCAAGGTAGCTCCTCCCCGATGCGCACTTCCACGACCAACCTCACTTGGAAATCACACTCCAGGCCGAGTCCCAAGAATACAAACAAGACTGGGCAAGTGCCACGAGCCTGAGGTTTTCAACTGTATCATCCATGTTGGTTTCTTCCACATTTCCTTCAAATATGGGAGGATCGTCATCTCTTTTTTGGGCACTTTCACCGGCCTTTTCTCCTTTCATTCTCATTCGTCCACGCACCCCAAACGGCAAGCCAGCAACAAGTCATCCCCAGACACCGTCCTGGACGCCATTCTTTCCCTGGAATATATTCGTCAGCTCTTGCTCGGTTGTTTTCTTAAATCTCTCCAATTGGGAGTCATTCCCTCGAAATTAGACTCTTTCCGGGCTAGCGAGAGGAAGAAGAAAAAAAAAAAAACGTGACGTCGTCCTGGCTCATCTCCACCACTCCTTAGACTCGGTGCTGCTTGCCATCACAGTCGATATCACAAGCTTCCAGGCATTGCTACCGTTGTGTTGGTTCCTCGCCTTACCTCACTAGGTGCCGGATCTGCCTCGCAGGGTTACTAAGTCACGCCGTTGGATTTGTCACCTGAGGTCCCTGGTCCCAATAGTTTGTCGACTTGAAAGGTTACCCTTGACTCGGCTACTTTAGGGAACGCTGTTTAGGCTCCAGAAGAGAACGGATCCGCCATTAGAAGACCCCACGCGATCGAGATCTGGTTCAGATGCCCAAGTCACGTCACATTAAGGAAGTCTCTCACGGTTCGGTTGGAAAAACATCAGGAAGTTCCGTGTGGTGTTTGGTTAACGGCCAAGCCCCCGATTTACCTCAGCGCTGACAAACCTGTTCACATCTGCTCATCGATCCCTCTCGGCTCGGAGACTCATCACACCACGCTAGCTTTCTTATTCGCACCCCTTTTCCAACACACGAAGCATCCCTTGTCCACTCTTGGCTAAGAAAATTGGTGTCAGTCACCCGGCCGTTCTTCAGCAACGTAGACTAGACTAGGGTCAAGGTCGGCCGAGAAGTCGATCATTAACTAGTAGTGAGCTAGTGAAAATTGGGGAAGACGATCGGAGATCGACAATATATATCGAACAGTAATACCGATATCTGGAGAACGGTTAGGTTGTGATCGGATATCGGAGACTTGTGATTAGGTTCGAGTAAGGTAAGTGGACGAGTCGGAAAGAAACAAACGCCAAAAGTCGGAGATCGGAGAAAGGGGATATCGGTTGAAGAGCTGGGTATATAAACTAGGGACCAGAACGGACGACATACGCCGAGAGATATCTCCTGTTCGGCCACTCACTTGTTTTCCGGGACACAGACAACAAGCAAGCCAGCAAGCAAGCAAGCAAGCAAGCAAACAAACAACCAGCAAGAACAACACAATGGGTGTCAACAAAATCACTCACGTTGCGGGTACCGGACCACAACCAGAAGCTGGCCAGACCGTGATTATCGAGTATACTGGTTGGCTGAAGGACTCGAGCCAGGCCGATGGAAAGGGAGCCCAGTATGTTCTTTTATCCCTTTGGAAAAATCTTGGCTTACCATACACGTCTCCGGTTGTTACTCAGTTTTGATAACACTATATCCAGATTCGACAGCTCGATCGGTCGTGGGGATTTTGTCACGCAAATCGGGGTTGGGAGACTCATCAGAGGTATATGCGCACCATCAGTCCACTTTTCCCATATATAGGAGACTTGATACTGACGTGCTGCTCTTTGACGGGCATAGGATGGGATGAGGCTGTGTTGGAAATGAAGGTTGGCGAGAAGGCCACTTTGGATATCTCTAGGTGAGTTAACCGTGAGTGAACGATGTGTCAGGGGAAGAAATTGATACTGACGAGACAATATGTGTTAGTGATTACGGATACGGAGAGCGGTTAGTAACCTACAGGCCTTTTTTTCTCTTTTTTTCTTCTGAAAATCCAAAACTCAGTCTATATGGTGTAACACTACCCGCAGACACAATAGTTCTGGCCGTGTTGATTTGGAGTTAATGTCCTTGTGCTGACTCGATGCTATTGCACACCAGGGGTTTTCACGGCCACATTCCTCCGAACGCGGATTTGATCTTGTGAGTTGTCCCCTGTATGCCACATATCTTGCTTGTTTCTTTAGTCAAGGTAGCGAAGGGCAAGATAGAGACAGCAAGGATACAAGCTAATATGTGATAGTGACGTATATCTCAAGGGTCTCCAGTAGCTAGGCGGTTCACTGATCTCGGGAAAAGGAGATGAGGTCCTTAGTTCAACGCCTCCAATGAGCCAAAGTAGGGATCGCTGGACAAGAACCCACTGGAGTTTGAAGTTCTTTTAGAAAGATATAACTTGTGTCGGTGATGGTCATGACGCAAACACAGATTGTTGGTGTTTACGTTGGGAGGAACCTTGATGGGTAAAGACGAGGAATTAATTGAATGACGGAGGTTAAGCGATACAGGGAAGGGTGAAGTACCTACGCAGCTATGTTAATATGGAGAAGTACCTACAAGCGCCTCATTGAATGTGATTGGCTCACTACGAAAAGAGAGCACGAGTTGCCTGCCGGATGGGCTGAGTGGCTGGTCCTTGCTTACTGTACAAAGTACGTTTTGCCGCCATCGGTACATGGGGCAAGTACCTTAGTGCATGACCGCCTCGTACTACTGCGGAATGTTAGTAATAGTTCGATCCTTCTATGGCTGTCCTCACAGTTCCTTCATGTGCGCGTGAACCACAATACATATTGGCTTCAGCATCAATGAGACTTCCGATCAGATAGGAGACTGGGCACAGCCAGTGTGAATCGAGGTTGGGTAGAGGTAGAGGTAGCTAGCATAGCCACTTGATGTACAAGTGATAGGTAGGTGCGAGGCCCCTTACGGTGAAGGCTACAGCACACTGCACTAACAGCAGTACAGCGACCTGCACGCTGCAGCGGTGCTTGGCCAACGACGGACAGTGCATCACATCACCATTCCCCGCAGTTCCCCTTGACCTGATGCTTGACAGCTGGTGGCGGGGCTGACCGAACCTCCCTCGACATCCCCGCCGCCCGACCTTCCAGATTACAGACAGCTTCCACTTCCACTTCCACTTGCACTTGCACTTGCACTTGCACCTTGACATAGTACGACATAGTAGCACTTGCGCTTGATCGTCTGTTTTCCCGAGCCATTCAACTACAACATCGGCGTTTTCTTTGGACCAACATCGCCAACTTGAAGTATTACAATACCCAACCACTGCGAATCAACAACTCTAGGTTCTCGTTCTTGTTTTTGCTCTGTTTGCGTCACGAGCTTTCCACCATCTATAATCTACCGGCCCGCCCGTAATCAACAGTCGCCAAGCTGGGGAAGCGCAAAGTATCCGAAGGGGACCTACCCATCTCCCTAAAGAGAACCATGACAGTGAGTTGAAACCCCGTTTGTCTGCATGAATCCTACTTGGGATGGCAGATGCTTGTTCCTGGTAGCTGGCGCTGGTCAGTCTGACACTTTCGTGATGCCATCTCCCAGGACACTCAGAAAAACGAGGTCGACCTTGTCACCAGGATGCAAGTCGACGAGTCAGTAGCCGGCACCACGGCCGAGATCGATGAGTCCCTCTACAGTCGCCAGCTCTATGTCTTGGGCCACGAGGCCATGAAGCGCATGAGCGCTTCCAACGTCCTCATCGTCGGCCTCAAGGGCCTCGGCGTCGAGATCGCCAAGAACGTCGCCCTTGCTGGCGTCAAGAGCCTCACCCTCCACGACCCCGAGCCCGCCGCCTGGGCCGACCTCTCCGCCCAGTTCTTCCTCCGCCCTGAGGATGTCGGCAAGCCTCGCGACCAGGTCACCGCTCCCCGCGTTGCTGAGCTCAATGCTTATACCCCCGTTCACATCCACCAGTCGCCAAGGTAGGTTATGAATCGGACGGGAGTGGGCTTCAAAGGTTCGGTAGCTAACCGTGGCCTCTGTACAGTCTCGCCGATAACCTGTCGCAGTTTGACAAGTACCAAGTCGTCGTCCTTACGAACCAGCACACCGATCTCCAGACTATTGTCGGCGAATACTGCCACTCCAAGGGCATCTACTTCATCGCTGTCAACACACACGGTCTCTTTGGCGGCATCTTCTGCGATTTCGGCGATAACTTTACTGTCATGGACACGAACGGCGAAAACCCCGTTAACGGTATCGTGGCTGGAATCGACGAGGAGGGTCTCGTTTCTGCGCTTGACGAGACCAGGCATGGGCTTGAGGATGGCGACTATGTGACGTTCTCGGAGGTCGAGGGTATGGAGGGACTCAACGGCTGCGAGCCCCGCAAGGTCACCGTCAAGGGCCCCTACACCTTCTCTATTGGCGACGTGTCCGGGCTTGGCCAGTACAAGAAGGGCGGTCTCTACCAGCAGGTCAAAATGCCCAAGACTATCGAGTTCAAGAGCATTACCAACGCGCTCAAGGATCCCGAGTTTGTCATCTCCGACTTCGCCAAGTTCGATCGCCCTCAGCAGCTCCATATTGGATTCCAGGCTCTCCACGCTTTTGCCAAGTCTCAGGGACGTCTACCAAGGCCGATGAACGACGAGGATGCGCTTGTGGTTATCGCCTCGGCCAAGGAGTTTGCCAAGCAGCAGGGTGTTGACGTCGAGTTCGACGACAAGCTTCTCAAGGAGCTCAGCTACCAGGCTACTGGTGACCTCAACCCCATGGCCGCTTTCTTCGGTGGTCTTACCGCCCAGGAAGTCCTTAAGGCTGTTTCGGGCAAGTTCCACCCCATCAAGCAGTTCATGTACTTCGATGCGCTCGAGGCTCTTCCCACCAACTCCAAGCGCACCGAGGAACTCTGTGCGCCCACTGGAAGCAGGTATGACGGCCAGATCGCGGTCTTTGGTAAGGAGTTTCAGGAGAAGATCTCGAACGTCAAGCAGTTCCTTGTCGGCGCTGGCGCCATTGGCTGTGAGATGCTCAAGAACTGGGCCATGATTGGTCTCGGCACTGGCCCTGAGGGCAAGATTACCGTTACCGATATGGACTCGATTGAGAAGTCCAACTTGAACAGACAGTTCTTGTTCCGCCCCAAGGACGTTGGTCAGATGAAGAGTGACTGCGCGGCCAAGGCTGTGCAAGCTATGAACCCTGACCTCGAAGGCCACATTGTTTCTCTCAAGGATCGCGTTAGCCCCGAGACCGAGGAGATCTTCAATGAGGAGTTCTGGCAGGGTTTGGATGGCGTCACTAACGCGCTGGACAACGTTGAGGCAAGAACGTATGTCGACAGGCGGTGCGTTTTCTTCCACAAGCCTCTCCTTGAGAGTGGTACCCTCGGCACCAAGGGCAACACGCAAGTGGTGCTTCCTAGGCTCACCGAGTCCTACTCTTCCTCCCAGGATCCTCCTGAGCAGTCGTTCCCCATGTGCACTCTCAGGAGTTTCCCCAACAAGATCGAGCACACCATTGCTTGGGCTCGTGAGCTGTTCGAGAGCTCATTTGTCAAGCCTGCGGAGACTGTCAACCTCTACTTGACCCAGCCAAACTATCTCGACACTACCCTGAAGCAGAGTGGCAACGAGAAGGCGACGCTGGAGATGTTGGCGGACTTCCTCAAGCACGAGCGCCCGCTCACCTTTGAGGATTGTGTCCAATGGGCTCGCATGCTTTTCGAGAAGCAGTACAACAACGCTATTCAGCAGCTCCTTTACAACTTCCCCAAGGACTCCGTGTCCTCGACCGGCACCCCCTTCTGGTCCGGACCCAAGCGCGCCCCTGACCCGCTCAAGTTCGACCCTGAAAACCCCACCCACTTTAGCTTCCTCGAGGCTGCTACCAACCTCCATGCCTTCAACTATAGTATCAATGCCAAGGGCAAGAGCAAGGCCGACTACCTCCAGGCTTTGGAGGGCATGATTGTGCCTGATTTCTCCCCTGACTCGAACGTCAAGATTCAGGCTGATGAGAAGGAACCTGTAAGCAGTTGCCACGACGAGTTGTGTGTTGAGGATGACGCTAACTGAAAGTAGGACCCGAACGCAGATAACACTGCCTTCGATGACGAGTCGGAGCTCGGCAACCTCAAGTCCCAGCTCCCTGAGCCCAAGTCCCTCGCTGGCTTCAAGCTCAATGTTGTGGAGTTTGAGAAGGACGATGACACCAACTACCACATCGACTTCATCACGGCCGCCAGCAACCTGCGCGCTGAGAACTACAAGATTGAGCCTGCCGACCGTCACAAGACCAAATTCATCGCCGGCAAGATCATTCCCGCCATCGCCACCACGACGGCCCTGGTCACCGGCCTTGTCGTCCTCGAGCTGTACAAGATCATCGACGGCAAGACCGACATTGAGCAGTACAAGAACGGCTTCATTAATCTGGCCCTCCCCTTCTTCGGTTTCTCCGAGCCCATCGCCAGCCCCAAGGTCGAGTACAATGGCCCCAACGGCAAGGTCACGCTCGACAAGATCTGGGACCGCTTCGAGGTCGGCGACATTACCCTGCAGGAGCTGATTGATGATTTCGAGAAGCGCGGTCTGTCCATCTCCATGCTGAGTTCCGGTGTCAGCTTGCTGTATGCCTCGTTCTTCCCGCCTGCCAAGCTCAAAGATCGCTATGCTCTCAAGCTCAGCGAGTTGGTGGAGACGATTAGCAAGAAGCCCATCCCGGCGCATCAGAAGGAGTTGATCTTCGAGGTGGTGACGGAGGATGCGGATGGTGAGGATGTGGAGGTTCCTTATATTAAGGCGCGGATCAGGTAGATGATTGGCCTAAAAGGATTGGTGTGGAAGACGGTGTAGATATCAGATGAGCTGTTTTTGGGTGAATGAATACAGTCAAAGTCAAGTCAATAGAACGTTACTTTTTACTTCTTGGTTTATGGTCCTTCTACATAAGGCGTACATGAATTCGAAGCAGAAGGAGTCCGGCTTAGTGCCGGTAAGGATGAGGTGATGACGATAGAAACGCTGAAGTAGAAGTGCCAGGAAAGTGATTAAATTATATTTCACAGAAGAGAGGACAATTACTTGTAAAAATTTTGTCTTACATTACCACGTGAGAAGTAATTCAAGGCCCGTTCAGATGCTAATTATTATCGACATATCTACTTGGCTACATGACCACGTACTACATGACTACGTGACAAAAAAACTCCGTCTCTCTTCCCGTGGTATCTAACACCTATTCAAGGCCATCCCAAACACAAACCCAAAGTAATTAAGACAGGCTGAGCATATCAATACAAAGCCACCCACCAATCAAAAACCCCCATCAGCTCCTCAAGTGAAGGCCAGTTCCGCATCTAGTGCTGCTAGGCCCTAGAATAGGGGCTAACCTGCAACACACAAACTTCCAGCCTGGTTTAGGTTGTATGCTAACACCAGACCACACCACACCACACCACACCACACCACATTACACCAAACACATAACAAATAACATAATTACATCCACAAACAAGACAAAGCGAGACATGTACGTGGTTATTAGTAGAGACTATCCTAGCTGAGGTAGGAAACAAAAAACACCCACACGAGATCGGGATCCCGTCCGCTGTCCCTTAGATACCTAATGGACACTATCAATCAATCGGCCTGATTAGTAGGTAGTTGGGCAGGTGTTGTATGTTTCGTTTTGTATTTCACTTATTGCCCCTATCCCTTCTCACCTTTCATATACATGTATATTCGGCTACAATCCGTATGTAGGAAAAACGACGCGAGTTTTTGGTAAGTGGGCTGAGGGAGTGAGTGGAGGAAGAAATACATTAACGTAGATGGTCCGATGTTGGTCACTTGATATTGTGAAGGGTCGTTACAAGACAATGAAATGTCATTTGCCAATGCAAACAGCTGAACAAGACTGAATCTGGCACGCTTTGAATTGGGAATGCATCGTGCTTTAAGCAAAGTCCACTGGAGACGGCCTGAGATATGAAAGAGTGTACCAAAAGTGTGATGTATTCAACGTGATGCTGAGATTGGCTCTGCTACTCTTATTGCTTCGCTGCCCATCTTTGCACGTACAGCCACTTCAGCTCGGTACCGCACCCGTTGTATTTGACTGCTTCAATGAGGTTTTCGCCTAGAAAATCCAACACCCTCATCATTTCTTCCGCAGAGATCTTGGGACTATACCTCCTCTGGATATCCCTAATGGCGTTCTGGAGGTCCGCTGCGCCAGGTAACGACTGGTTTAACGTTGCAGAGGGGATCGGCTTGGTAGACGTCACCGTGCTCTGTGTACTTGCTGTACTGGTGGACATCCTCCTTCGTGTTGTTGGTTTCGCATCATCCTTGTGCGCCTGGGCACTCCTCATCACCTTCACTGCCTGTGCCATGTCCTTCAACACCTCCCTCTTGACCATCTTCTCCATCTTCACCGTAATATCCTGACGGATATCCTCGACCCACTCGTCTTCGATCTCCTTCCGCAGCTCCTCTTGGGCTAGTTCAACCGTCTCAGCCACCCATTCCTCTGTTTGGCTTAGGAGCGCGCCCTCGAGTTCGCGACGCACATCATACAAATGATCGTCGATTCTTTCGTCGACTTTGGTGTTTATGTAACCGAAAATTTGCTCCACCTCCTCTGTGTCGTATCTGCATGTGCTTTCGGCATTGAGACACTCGGTTATCAGTTTCTCAACCTGTTTGACCCGAACATCGAGGCTGGCGGTGCGGCCGAGCACTCGACGTATTGCGAGGAGAATGTGCTTGTCAGTTGGAGAGTGAGATAAGAGCTCGCTTGTGCGTCGACGCTTTCGGTCTGGAACGGTAACGGCATTAGCTTGGAGCAGGTGATTGCTGATGATACCAAAGGGGACGTACCAGTCGGGGTGGAGAACTGATTCGGGCTTTGAAGAAGTGAGCCCGAGGTGGAAGGCGGCTGCACCTGTTCATCTGTCGTCACAGGAGACAATGATTCACTTATACGTCGCTTTCGATCTGAAAGTGCACAGTGTTAGTTGCTGCTTGAGAGACAGCGTGACGGTGATGGAAAACAGGATGACCGTACCAATAGGGGCCAAGTACCCCGGCGCATTCCGAGACGAGCTATCGTTGGTATATGGGGGAGGGATGATGTCTGTCGGTTTCGCTGCTGTTTCCTTTGCGATTTCTTCCAAAGTCTGGTTGTGATTGGTGCCAACGGGAGGAGCAGTCTTGCCCAAGTCGATAACCTGACCGGGCCCGCCATGGAACAAAACGTCGAACGATGCCAATATCTCGTCCGTCCGCATTAGGCCAAATGGACGAGAGGACGAGAAGACCGACGGGAGCAAAGCTAGCTGCTCTCGATACTCCGGTGTAAGGTTGAGGCGGTTCAGGTAAACAGTGAACTGGCACAATGTAGCCAGGGACTTCATGCTGTCAAAAAGAGCTTGATACCGAGGCCTCGGCTCATAAGACCCTTTGTTTGCCGTTGGCGCCACGAGACTAGGTGGTTGTGTCATCGTAAACTCTAGGGAAATGAAGTTGTCGCCGTCAGGTCCCTGCATGGCGGGCGGACGATGACTGCGAGCGAACTCGATCGACTGGATCGTCTCTGGATGAACAAGCAAGTACAGCTTTTTCTTGGTGTTGCCATCTTTGAGTAGGATAAAGCCATGCAGTTTGAACATGGCTAGCAACTTTTTGGTATCTACGTATAGATCGATACGCAAATCCGATGTGTGTTGTTTCTCCAGGTCGATACCGTTCTTCCAGGCAACAACTCCATTAAGTTCAGAGAGGTTGATTTTGCAACGTTTCTCGTCATCGTCGCTTGCGAAGGATGTAGTCGCTACGTAACTTTCGTTGTGTTTGCCGCCGGGCATGTCTCCATCGATGCCACCAATCTCCCTGTAACCATATTCGTAAGCGTAATCTGAGAAGGGGAAGATCCGCCGATCTCGCGTGACGATGCGACTATCAGCAACGGTCCCAAACGAATCAAGAGCCCCAGTCCTTCCAACAGGCGTACCTGCCGGGTAGGAGTTGGCTATTTATAAAGACCCGTGACAGTTTGGGACGCATTGTTGCAGACGCAGCATCAGCCATATAGTTCTTAGCAGCGTCCTAGGCAAATCAAAAGCCCCAGTCCTTCCAACAGGCGTACCTGTTGGGTGGGAGTTGGCTATTTATCAAGACCTCTGACAGCCTGGGACGGTATGCTTTGAGCATATGGCCTGCGAGAGACGGAGCGGGCATGTGTTGTGATGGGCATTCAGCGCTAGCCGAGAGGAAGGGAGGGAGGAAGGCGAGAGAGGATTTGGATCAGTGAGCATGGTGCCGCAGCTCTTGCAGACAATGTATCTGTATCAGTAACGGTCTCAAGCGAGTCAAGAACCTTAGTCCTTCCAGCCTCGTGCACACATGCTGGGTAGGAGTTGACTATCTATAAAGGTCCTTGATAGCTTGAAACGCGTACTTCCAGACGCATCGGCCCCAAGCTCTCAGCAGCGTCCTAGGCGAATAAAGAGACCCAGTCCTTCCAGCAGGCGTACCTACTGGGTAGGAGTTGGCTATTTATAAAGACTCTTCACAGCCTTGGGCGGTGTACTGTGAGCATATGGCCTGCGAGAAACTGAACGACGACAGTCCACGGTGTTCATAGGGGAGGGGAGAAGAGGAGGGGGGAGATATTGAACGAAACCTGGTGCCAGTGACAATCGACCGGCTGCTCCTGCGTGACAATGCGAACATGGGGCAGACAAAGGGCGTATGGCTGGATTCGCATCGTCCGGGAGAAACCGAGCAATCATCGCACCGGTAGCATGATCATCACTGACCCTGGAGAGGATATTGAAAACGGCTGGGTTGACTCGCATCCGTCGTCGTGATTATCGGGTTCACGGTGATCGGGGAATGGAGGAGGTGGTGTAGAGGGCAGGCAGTCTGCCATGGCGACGGCCTAACGGGTTAAATGGGGGGTGAAAAGATATTTCAATCAATCACGTTCATTGGAATCCCATTGACGACGAGGCGGCGGTCGATAGAGAGGTGGAGGGCCCGACTCGTTTGTTGACTTTGTGGAGCGTTGTTCACGCAAATGTGAACGACGTTGCGGCCTCTATCCCTGGCTACCTACGCAAAGTCACATGACCGCGACGAGTGTAACCTGCACCGCCATGTACTGTCACCAGCCACACATGATGAGATCGAAATGAAGACACCAGCCACGATTGGCCCAAAAAGCCAAGACCAGCCAATGGGATGCAGTGAGGTCATTGACGACTTTCAATCGGACTTCGGGCTGCTCAGTAATCTGCGACTAACATGATGCGTCTTGTTTGTCAGCGTCACGGTGGATGTTTGGCGAATAACGTTTCGGGCCTGTAAATGCATTTCGGTATAAATACCGTAAACAACCTTTTGTACATGATCGCGCAGTTAGCATCAACACTATCGTCACACCTGTGAATCCCTCATGAGCCTTCGCTTTCGTCTCAACCTCGCTGCAGTGAGATCTCCAACTTTGCTTCTACCCCGCAGCAGCATCAGTTCATCTCTTGTCTCAACCGTCGTCGTCCGAACCTCAACCCGCAACATCTCAACTCTATTGCAACCGTTCCCGTTGCCCCTCGAAACTACACCAAACAACTTAACTAAAAGAACCCTCAACACCACTACACCCACGATGGCCACCTCCGACACAATCACCAACTGGGTAGACCCCAACGACAAAACGGGCGAATTCAAGCGCCAAGTCTCCTCCTTCCGCTCCTTCATCTCGCGCTCTGACCCTTCCTCTCCCTTCCCCCCCGAAAAGGGCCGCTACCACCTCTACGTCAGCTACGCCTGTCCGTGGGCCACGCGCGCCCTGATCGTGCGCAAGCTCAAGGGGCTAGAGGACATCATTTCTTTTAGTTCTGTGCACTGGCACATGGGCCCATTGGGGTGGCGGTTCCCCCTCGCTGAAGAAGGAAAGGAGGGTGGGGATGCGGCTGGGGACCAAGTGGTGCCTGACCCGGTCGGTGGGAAGCAGTACATGCGGGAGGTGTATTTCGGGGTGGAACCGGAATACAACGCGCGGTTCACGGTGCCGGTGCTGTTCGACAAAGAGGGGGGGCGCATTGTGAATAATGAGAGCAGTGAGATTGTGAGGATGTTGGGGAGCGAGTTCAATGAGATCGTGGAGGATGCCAAGGCCAAGGAGTTGGATTTGTATCCCGAGGATTTGAGGGCCGAGATTGATGAGGTGAATGAGTGGGTTTACCATGACATCAACAACGGGGTGTACAAGAGCGGGTTCGCGACGACGCAGGAGGCGTATGAGCGGAATGTCACAAAGCTATTTGAGGGGTTGGATAAGGTCGAGAAGCATCTGAAGGAGGTGCAGGAGAAGGGCAAGGGGGAGTATTGGTTTGGGGAGAGGTTGACCGAGGTGGATGTGAGATTGTGAGTAGTTTTACCTGCCTGCCTCCTGGGAGCTGAGTGAGAAGACAGGGATGCTGACCATGAGAACAGGTTCCCGACGATTATCCGCTTCGACCCCGTCTACGTTCAGCATTTCAAGTGCAACTTGCGCGACATCCGGTCTGGATATCCAGCCATCCACAGGTGGATGCGCCATCTCTACTGGAACGTCCCTGCCTTCCGTGAGACGACCAACTTCTTGCACATCAAGAAGCACTACACTTGCTCGCACCCTCAGATCAACCCCAAGGGTATCACGCCGTTGGGCCCGGTGCCGGATATCCTGCCACTCGACGAGGAAGTTGAGGCTGTCAAGGCTGCGAAGAACTGATGTAGGGAGCAGCTACCTCTTTGGTATGTACCTGCCGGTGACCAATTAATAGCGGAACAACATAGAGATTATCAGTAATTGCAATCCTCTTTGTCGCCTAGCAACCTAGTCTGCCACATGTTTGTTATCTAGGTTTACCAGGCTTCTTCCTTTATTCGCTGAACAATAGGCTTTCTTGTTGCACCAAGCGAAGCGGCACATGTCTGATATCTGCTTATGCAATCAACATTCCTTCTACCCGCACATATCATTGCGATGTCACAAAAAGCGCAAGGTGTAGCGAGCCACATAATTTGGAGGTTCTCTTTGGTTTCTGTTGATTGGGTCCTAGCTACATGTATGTGATGAATCCGTTGTTCGACTTCCTTCATCTCAAAGCGGACGGTTCCCATTTCAAACTGACCGTTTAACCTTTCATCGACCAGGGCGTCGTGTCCAGGTAGAATGTTGTATGAGTCTCTACCTGCCAGCGACTACTCCCTTGACCGGAAATTCTAGGTAATAATCTTTGTTAAACTGCATCGTGATGAGTATTGAGCATTACAATGAATGCTTTCCCAATATTAGGCCGATAGGCAAAGCCTTCCACATCCTCATCGAACTTTTGGAACCACTCAGTGTTTCCAGATGTCGGTGAGGACGATAACCTCCCTCCCTATTGCCTTGAATAGGGCACCTTATTTTGCTAGAGGCCGAAAGGCGGCCACAGAACAAGGGTTTGGTAGGGGGTGGGAGGTCGAAGACGACAGACCGGTTAGATCCGGTAAGAACGATGCCAACACGGGTTGAGGTGACCGAGGTGCTGTTCGATCTTGTAGAAAGAGCGCTCCTGTGTCTTCTGTTGTGAAACAACAATGATGCGTTAGTGAATGAACAGACCCACTTTCAAGTTGTCGACAATCTCCCTCAAGAAAGGAAATAACAATTAACTTACCCCAGACTTGGCATCAATCTTTTGCTTCTTAGTAGGAGCAAGAAGGCTCTTCACCGTGTCCCTCTTGAACTTCTGGAACCAATCCGACCTCTCCAGCAGCGCCTCCAAGTCAATCGTGCCCCGGTCCGCAACCCTTGTGCTCTCATTCACAAACGGCTCGACGCTAATCACCACCTTCTCCAGACTTCCCTTCTTCCGCAGCACGTCCAGCCGATTGATCGACCACGAGAAGAAGCGAAAGTACTTGAAGGTCGAATACGGCATCTTACCGCTAGCAAACCGACCCTTACGCTGGATCAGACTCTTGACATCCTTGGGCCGGACATGGGCGCTCCGCATCGCCACCACGATCTCCAGCGTTTTGACATTCTTGCAGTTCTTCAACCAGTCCAGCGCGGCCCGCTGCATGTCGCACTGCTCGCGACGGTAAACGGGACCGACGTGCCAAGCCACGTGCTCCACGTACTCGGTCAGCAGCGGCGACAAGGTCGCGTCCTGCCAGAGCAGGCTCATCGACTCCGTCAGCTTGTCGCTGCCGTGCCAGCTGTCGGAGTAGTTCCAGCGGAAATGGGAGTCGTACCGCAGGTACAACTGCGTGCAGCGAAAGTACTCGGCGTAGGCGACGTTGCGGATGTCCGAAGAAATGGCGCCGAGCTTGAAGAGACCGCGGAGCTGGGCGCGCAGGTGGCGGGGGTTGGAGTAGAATTGGAGGCGTTTCTGGTAGGAAGATTGGTCGGAGGGCGAGGTGTCGGGGGTGGTGTGCCAGACGAAGCGGTAGATGATCAGTTTGAGCTCCTCAGGGAGCTTCATGAAGGGGAAGATTCCTTGGGGCTGGAATGGGGGTGAGGGGATTGGGGCTAGGGCTGTGACTGCGGCGATTGAGGCCGAGTTTTTTGAGACGGCATTGTCCGTGGGCTGGTAGTTGAGAGTGGATGGAAAGCCGACAAAGGGGTGAGGCGCGAAAGGCGAGGACGCGGCATCGGAAGTGGTTGGGGCAGCAGGAATGAGGCCGGTAGCAAGCTGAGCGGCAGCCTGAGCCTGAGCGGCAGCAATGGCTCTCTGCCTCAGCCGATCGTTCATAGCCTGAGACTGAGCGGTAGCACTACGCTTCCGCTGAGCGGCCATAAGAGCAGATGAAGTCTGCTGCCGAGCGGTAGCTTGACCTTGAGCTTGAGCGGCAGCCTGGGCCTGAATTTGAGCAAAAGCCTGAACATCAGCCGCAACAATAGCACTCTGGCCTTGAACATAGGCCTGCTTCCCAGCGGCCATAAGAGGCGCATGTTGAGCATTGGCTGTGGGCGGGTTTCTACCCGTGACGGAGGGGCCTACGACAGGATTAGCCACGACATGGGACTGGTTGGCCGTAGCCTGATTGCCGTTGACAGGGTTGCCGAAGGCCCAGTTGCCCGTGATGGAGTTGCCCGCAACCGGAGTGCCTACGATAGGACTAGCTCCAACCGGATTGCATACGATCTGGTTGCCTCTAGCTGAGTTGCTTGTGGCCGAGTTGTCTATGACCCAGTGGTTAGTGACGGTTACCTGTGATAGCTTTGCCTTTGGCCGAGTTACCTGAGGTCCAGATGACTCTAGCCGAGTTGTTGGTGACTGAGTTGCCAGGAATCCAGTTGCCTATGGCCGAGGTGCCTATAGGTGGGTCGAGGAGGAATTCGGGAATCATGTTGCCTATAACCGGGTCGGTGAAGATATCGATGAGAGAGCCCCTCTCACCTGTGACCGAGGTGTCTATGGCTGGGTTGAGCGAGTTGTTGGGCATCGGGTTGTCGATAATGGAATTATCGACAACAGAAGTGTCGATGACCGAGTCGTCTAGAATTGAGTTGAAACCGCGCAAGTTGCCAGTGACCCAGTCGTCCCAGTTAAAGTGGTCGTCCAGGCCCGGATTGCCGGCGAAGTTCCATCCGCCGTCTCCGTTGCCGTTGCCATAGCCGTAGCCATAGACGTCGCCATAGCCGGCGCCATAGCCGTTACCTAAGGCTAGACTAGGAAGGGCGTTCCAAACCCCATAATAATCATTGGCAAAAGACATGTTTAATTAGAAGATGTGGTCTACAAGGCACTTGGTGCCTCAAGTCCAGAGGTGCACCCACACAATTCTTCCAAATATTGTCTGATGGCCGATGGTAAGTCTTCTTAAAAAAGGAAGAAGATAGGGTAGTATAAGATATCAAGTATTTATTTTGCAAGGAAAGAAACATCGGGTGGCAATAAATAGACCAAGATTTGTGTGGTCCGCAGAGCCTCAAGGCATGTGAAGGGTCCTTGAAAAATTCAACCTGGGGAAAGGCGGACTATCTCCCCACAAACCGAAGGCGGTATGTTTGGAAGATTGGGGCTATTAGATAATGAAATGCCCTTCACTCGAGGTTCGTTCGTAGGAGGGGGGGATACAACCACATGCAGGTACTTCTACCCAGTTCACTTCATCAAGTTCATCCAATCTGCTGAAATGTTTAGCTATAGAACTACCCCTCCCCCTTTTTGAGCCCCATGTGGCAGCCGGCAGTTCTACAGAGAACATACATTTAGCATATGAAAGTTGGAAAGGAATCACGGCAGGCAAAGCACGTTTGGCAATTGCAACAGTATTGGAACTTATTCTTAGAGGTGATTTGGGTGAAGTAAACATTTGTGTCTTTTTGTACAGCGACCAAGTATTCAACCGCGAATATTTTCCCATTGTTCTTAAGGACTAATCAAGAATAACCAGGTGTCCCACTACCAGCACCAGTACCGCAGAACAATCTTCTGATAATTCCAAGCAGCTATGGCACAAAAGACAACTGGAATGTTGCTGACAAAGCCATGTGCTACCCCTTGGTGGCGCCGGAAAGCCAAGTCAGGGGGTCGTCCTTTGTTTGTCCCAACCAAACACCAACCAAACCCCTCGTCGCTACGAGAATTTGCCTGTGCTGGAATAGGAAGAATTACTACCGAGAATCGTGCGATTTGACAGGGAGAGTTGCAAGAGGGTAGGGAATGGATGAAGACTAAGTGAGTGGACATACAATGACTGGCTAATCTAGGGAATACCTGCCCTGACACATGGAGAGAATAGCAACAGCAGGGTTGAAGCATTGTCAGAATGTTAGGTAAAGGTAGATGCGTTAGGAAGATGACACCAGGTGTGATATTTTGGGGGACGGGACTAATTGACTGCTTGTTTAAAGCTGAAGTTATATTCGAGTGTCTCCTCTGCTCCCTCCGTTTCGCTCTTCCTTTCTCTGTACTGAAACCTTTGAGTGTCAGTTGCGGCGCTAACACGCGCACACTTGTGTAAAACATTAATGTACTTTGAGTTATAGAGGATGAACCCGGGTCAACCGAAGAAGAACGTTTTTGAACTTGTCACACGAAGGTCTGGAGCGTCAACTGAGGCATAGGGAAGGGGGTAAGATGATGGGTGGACTACCTATTTATGCCGAGAATTCCGGGGAAATCTCTGTGTTGTCGACGTCGAATCTTACAGCTATTTCTGGTACGTTTTTAATCAGGGATCAAGCAGTTAATGTAATTGATCTTGTACGTCTTCTATCCGTCTTCCTGTATAACAGTCGACATGTTCGACGTTAACGGCCCAACCGAGAAAATTGCGCCGGGCAAGAAGAGGAGAGGACGACGTATCGCAGACGTAAGCCCGAGCTTCTGAGATACAACTTGTATAAAGTCTTGAAAGTCGTCTCAACTAACTCTAGGTGTCGTTGTGTCTCTGCGCTGAAGGCAAGCTTCTGAAGCCGTGGGAGAGATTGTCGCTGGTGATGACAATGGCAGTTGGCAGCCTCAAATGATCCTAGTGCAAGAGATCCCAATCCATGTTGGTAGGGCTCTACAGAGAACAGATCTCCAGCGACTGTAGCTGTTCGAGGATCGCAAGCCATTTGATAAACTCGAGCTTGAAGATCGGTCTCTAACGCATCAAAACAAGTTGAAGGTTGTTTCCAAGAAGAACCTACAGCTGGAAGTTTCCAAGCGGCGGATCTGGAATATTGTCTCGGGGTCTTGCCCTCTTCAGTGAGGCTCATGCCAAAACTGGATATGATTGTTGCGT